ATTTTTCATTTTGTTTCATATTATTTGTATACTGTTGCATCATATTTTTTAAAAACTTTTTTTTTCTTTCTGTGAAAAAAAATGTAAAATAATGAGTCAAATTGTTTCAGGACAGTTTCACATTTTGGACCTCAGTCATGATGATATTGTGTCCCAGGCAATGTCCTGGGATCAGAGTCTCACTCTTATTTGAGTTACTGTGTGTATAAGTCATCCATTGTAGTAATTTGGAGGTTGTGAGTGGGCGGTCCATGCGTAATAAGAGGTGGGGTTTGGGCAGGCAACTGGCAAGTGGGTAGGGTCTGGGTGGGGCTACCCGGTCAACGGGCAGGCCTGAGATTGACTGTGGGTGGCAATTACTGTGTCCCAGGAAGCTGAATTGTTGGTAAATGTGCAACAGGTGCAGGGTAGGTTGAGCTTTGATACATTGAGACATGTCAGGAAATTGACATGCTTATAAATAGACATGTGCGATTCGTTTCGTTTCGAATCAAAATTCGGACGAATTTTCGTAAATTCGGACATTCGGATGTATCCGAATTCCGAATTACAGACATAACGAAAGCAAACGAATCCGAATTTCCATTTCCGAAATTTGGTAGCGTTCGCACGAACGTTCGTTTCGTTTTCTGTTCTTATTCGTTTCTTATTCGTTTCGTTCGTTGGAGCAAAGTGACATTAGAGGAGAAAAATATTTTTTCCCCCTCAAATGTCACTTTTGCTGCAAACGAACGAAACGAATAGGAACAGAAAACGAAACGAACGTTCGTACTAACGCTACCGAATTTCGTCCGAATCCGAATTCCGAATCCGAATTGACTTTCACACCCGAATACTGAAAAACGAAATAACACAAATCCGAATTTAAAACGAAACGAAACAAATTTTTTGGCAGTGCACATGTCTACTTATAAACATTGTTACTTTGTATCTCTCTATCTCCCCTCTGATCAATGTTTATAAACAATGTTACTTTGTATCTCCCCCTGATCAATGTTTATAAACAATGTTACTTTGTATCTCCCCCTGATCAATGTTTATAAACAATGTTACTTTGTATCTCTCTATCTCCCCTCTGATCAATGTTTATAAACAATGTTACTTTGTATCTCTCTATCTCCCCTCTGATCAATGTTTATAAACAATGTTACTTTGTATCTCTCTATCTCCCCTCTGATCAATGTTTATAAACAATGTTACTTTGTATCTCTCTATCTCCCCCTGTGATCAATGTTTATAAGCAATGTTACTTTATCTCTCTATCTCCCTCTGATCCATGTTTATAAACAATGTTACTTTGTATCTCTCTATCTCCCCTCTGATCAATGTTTATAAACAATGTTACTTTGTATCTCTCCATCTCCCTCTGATCAATGTTTATAAACAATGTCACTTTGTATCTCTCCATCTCCCTCTGATCAATGTTTATAAACAATGTCACTTTGTATCTCCTCTATCTCCACTCTGAACAATGGATTCACTTGGTAAGAAAAGTCCACTTTGGATTATTGTATGTTTGAAAGTTTGGCCATGTAGGCACACAGATGCCAATGCTGGATTAACCAATATTCTTTTTATAAGTCAAAATTCCAAATCGAAGAGAAATTTACCAACCTGAATGACAAAGGCGGCAGAATCTTCTCTCAACTGGCCATCAACCAAGAAGCCTTTGTTCACGTCATCTGTAGCAACGAATGAAAATCGGTCCCCTTTCGCCAGTCCGCCATAGTGGCGGTAGGACAGGAAGAGGTTGTCTATATCAACCTGAGTGAATTGGTTCTCCTGTAGCAGACGGTCGCCCAGGTACAGCTGCCCATGCTGAGGGCACTCCATAATTTTGTAGCGCAGTTTCTCCAGGGGGCTGTCCGGGTCCGTTAACTGTAGCTGATGGGAGGAGATGACCATCACTCCGCCTTCGGTCACCTGGAGACCTTTATTGTTCAGGAGGGTTGGCGGCACCCGGTCGGTGCGCTTGGTGAGAAACTCCAGTGAGCCGTCTTTTGCCGTCAGCCCGTTGCTCACAGTAAAACTAAAAAATAGAAAACATAAATGCTTAAAATGTCACTTATTAAAAAAAATGGTCATTAGGGTATGATTAAAGCCAATTTGTTTAAAATCTATCTATAGATAGATAGATTGGGGAAGGACAGAAGGGAGAGCACAGTCTACAGGAACTGTCCCTCTACAAGCTTGGGGGGGAAGGAGAAGATGAAGGGGGAGGGGAGTGTCTTGCCTTGCTGTGCCTATGTGTTTGTGGAGACACACACAGCTTTCTAGCACTCACCTGGGTGGCTCCATAGGACCCTGCAAGGGAAAGGAGCCACATACAGTTTACTAGCACACACAAGGGTGGCTCCATAGGACCCTGCACGGGAAAGGAGCCACATACAGCTTACTAGCACACACAAGGGTGGCTCCATAGGACCCTGCAAGGGCAAAGAGCCGCACACAGCTTACTAGCACACACAAGGTTGGCTCCATAGGACCCTGCAATGGAAGGGAGCCTAAAACATGATATGAGGGCCAGTGCTGAGGGGATCTGCTGGTTCTGCAAGAAACTAACACTTTTATACATCAAGTTGCAGCATTCATTGTATGTGATTTCATCAGCATTTAAAATAGCTTGAAAACACTTTAAATGTAATATGACTTTCATTACTCCATGGAGAGGGTTAGAGCTGATCACGTCTTGCCTGAAGAAGGGGAACCTATGTGACCCAGAAATGTTGCATTCATGTCATATGCTGCATCTACATCAATAAAAGACGCACTTTTCACTATTCGGAGTGCCGATGCCCCATCTTTACTTTGTGACTGTCACTTCGCCATCCATTGGTCACTGTAGCACCCACCAGTTATTTTTGGACCAAGCGGTCAGGGGTGCGATGGGTTCATGGACTACGGTTAGAGCTATAGCTATAGAACTCCTGCTGGGTTTTGTATTGCTATCAAGGACTCTAATAGGGAGATTTCTCCTCACTTCCTGTTCCACTGACAGGAATGCATTGCATTCCACCGGAAAAGAAAATATACTAAGAAGGTTTGTTTTTTTGACTCTATTCGGACGGAACGAAGTTCACAGAAGTTTATAGTTGATAAAGGGGTCTCTTTATCAAATTGTTGATAAAGAGACCCTACACCGAGTCCTTTCGGCGAAGCGCTGACAGATTGGAAGTTACGCATGTGTCGAGCAGATGGGTAAACTTTAAAGAAAAGCGGGAAAAAAAAAAAAGCGATTGATGAAATCACCTGGAAACAGCAGCTCGACTCCAAAAATAGTGAGAATGAAATATAGCCGAGGACGGCGCGGGGAAGCTGGCACTGCCCGGCACCAGAAGGCACCGGTTACAAAACAAGATAAACATTTTGGGAAGCCTCAGCTGTGCAGCGGAATAATGAGCTGCTATTTAACCCGATAAACCCTCCGACGAGAAAATAAAAACTGCTCAGGATTCCGCGCTCTTTGTTGTTCTCACTGTTTACCTCCAGCCTGATTTTATTTCTGGCATCTGCTGGACAGGCGGGCACCTTCCCTGCGTTCAGAAGGTGTGGGATGCTTTTACAAGCCGTATGATGGGTGCTGCATGGGGTGGCGAATGACGTGTACAGATGGGGCCGACTCTCAATAAAGTTTGCATTTTGCCTTCTCCGCTTCCTCCACCCTTCAACAATGTCATTTTTTAATACAATCTTTCCATTTTCATCACTTGGTCCCTGTGCTTCTTTATTCAATGCAGGCAGATGATGGGTGGTGGGAGGGGCTGGCAGCGTGCTGTACCAGTAATGTGCGGTACCTCATGTTCTGGGTGAGGCATTCCCTAGCACTCAATAGTTAGGTTACACAAGCATTGGGGAAGCCCGCTGTTGTGTAACCTAACTACCTGTAAAAAGCCGCATGCAGCGCCGCCTGTAATTAACAGTCAGCACTCCGTCCATGACAGGTCACACAGCGGGGAGGCTTTCCCTGCTGTGAGGCTCTGCCTCACCTGCGTCCCCTGACCGCACGTCCCTGTGCTGTACATGGCTTCCTGAACACATCACAGCACCCTGCCTACAGATTCACCCGGACAGTCCGGGTTTTGAATGCTGTGTCCGGGTTTCATGGCAGCTGAAACTCAGACCAGTGGCGTCATAAAGGGGGCCCGCACCTGGGTGACACGATTGGAGGGGTGACACCAAAATGACTGACAGTCATTTTGGTGTCACCCCCCACTGAAAAGTCGGGCACATCGCTCTCATACAAAAAAACTTTATATTGGCACACTTTACCTTTTTACCACTGAAAATAGTCTTGACTGTGATATTTACATACGAATGGGTGGCGCTATTTACATATGTATAAGGACAGTATATAACATTTTTGCTTTTCTTTTTGACCTGACCATAACCTTTGACTTTCCTGAGCCAAAAATAAGTCCCTCATTTGCCTCATTATATTATTATTTTCACATATAGAAAGAAAACTGAAAAAAAAAAATCAATTGCCTGTACACTGAAAATCAAAAGAAAAAAAAAAAAAAAAGAGAGAAAGATATAAAAAGCACTAAATTAAATAAAATGAATCGCCCTAAATACACCAAAAATAGACTCCAAATAAAGAACAATAACTGTTTTTTTTTCTTTTTCAAGCAAATGTATTCTAAACATCTGGAATCAAAAGCTGGAACATCTGTCAGGTAAAGTGCTGCGTGACCCCAATGTGTTTAGAACAGAGCGATCAACGTATTAACATTCAAACATATCAAAAACTTTTTTTGTTAGTTTTTGGATAGAGTCGGGAAGAGTCAGAGCCCCTGTCGGGTTTTTTTTTATTGTTGGCTGTGTCTCCGCAGATTTAGGTCCCATTCACACGTGAAGCGCACTGACATGATGCGGCTATTCAGTGGTACCTGACGCTCATCCCGACATATGTATGTATATGAGGTGCTCCTAATACCCCTCGCAGGTTCCTCGGGTACATAAATCAACAAAAAAAAAGGTAAGTGCGCCAATATAAAGTTTTTTTGTATGAGAGCCATGGGACGGGAGGATGGGGCCACTGTCCCAAAATAAAGCAACCAGCAGCTCGCACTCACAATGTCCCTCTTGCATAATGGACCCTCATGGATTCGTAATAGATCACATCTTTGTTCCTAAAAGGAGACATTCTTAAAGAAGTACTCCAGGGAAATGATTATTATTATCCCTTGCAGTGCGGGAGAAGCTCCATTGCAGGGGTTAAATGCTCATTTTGGTTCAGGGAGGAAAATAAATGATACTCACCTGATCCTCGGAGACAGCTGGCTGTCTCCCCCTTTATTGCAGCAATGGTATGTCTCTCAGCGTCCTCATGCCCTATACACTTTGAATAGAACGTGAAATGCTTCCACCTGCCTGCAGCAGCCCAGCCAAAGTCACTGAGTGGAGCTGAATGGTGCCTTTTTATTGAAGAAAGATGCTACTTTTGTGATACTGTTGCTGTATTGTGTGACATGCCCGGAATCTCTTCATGCAGAACTGTAACGTTAGGGGAAGATCCTCTATAAAAGAGTCAGAGTGGCAATCAACGCTTTCAGAGGATCCGAGGAAAAGGTTCCAGATTGTCTGGGTCTTTATAATACTATACTATATACTACTATATAGTATATATACTATATTTTGGGGATGGGGGTTCCTGATACCACGGCGGCCCATTTGTACGAGGGGCACCCGGTGACGCTGGCTCTTACCCCTGGAACCAGATTCCCCATTGGTCACATTGTAGCGGGGATTCTTCCTCAAAGGCGGCATTAGGATTCCCAGCACAGGACCTCCCCGGCCTCGTTATTCATTCCTGCGCACGGCTGGTACCCTTCCCAACATATGGTGCCATTCCAGGGCGTTTAACCCTTCCCAAGGCGCCGCCATCTCACCTGAATGAATCCTTCCCGGCCTCGCGGCTGTTGTCATGGACGTAGCAAACCTTCTGAGCCGCGACATCCAACTGGCTGAAGCTGGAGATGGGCAAGCCGGGATAATTGATGTACTCAATCTGACCATGGACAGGTGGCACGGAGACGGCATACAGCAGCCTCTCCGGTTTGCCCGTGCCATCTGTTGCCAAGAGAACAGCTGTCGTCAAGGTCACCCTGTCACCCTCTGTTAAAGTTACGGGTCTGGTGAGGAGGACGATGTCACCTATGGAACACAAAAATGGGGGGGGGACACAAAGTAACCAAATGATCCTGAAATGATGAGCATCCCATCCTTATAATAAACATTATTTAAAAAAAGACACAATGGGGTGCCCAATGCTGGCAACACATGAGAAGGGCACAGACTGGATTACAGGCAAATCATAAGGAACTGAACTCCAGGCAGATAGAAAAGACACAAATGAATACAATGTTGTAATCACTGATACATTATTATTACATGTATGTTTTTAACACAAGCAGTGTAAGTACCCGAATTTGACCTGTACCAGCCTCCACGTGCAGCAGCCCATGGTGTGTGAGAGGAAGAAGCAGCACAAGCAGCCAATTAGTACATGTGACGACAAGGAGCATGCTGATAGGAGTCACAAGGTTTATGTATGGGTCCAAGGTTTCAGTAGCAGCCTATGGCCATACTGATCAACGTTCTTCTGAGTTGAGAAAGAGGGACACCTTCCAGCACAATGTATTTAGGCAATGGGCCTGCACTTACTTATGCCAACCATTAAGAATTTATATGCCAAAAATTATTGGTTAAACCGGGAATTGTCAAAATTGCAAACAACATAACGAAGAGATGGGATGAAGATTTTAGTGCAGAGTCACACTTTTGATAGCTTAATAGATCCTTTTCATAGGTATCTGTCCATCAGACCAAAAAGGGGGACAACCAAGGGGGACAGAGGGACAAAGAGATTTGGTTCCAAATGAGAGACAGTTGAGAGGTATGCTATGGCCACTGAACTGAAGTAAACCTTGGAGGAGGACCACCGGCCCTTACCCTATGGGGAGCATTGGCCTACCACTACACAGGCTCCTCCCCCTTCAGTTTATCATGAATGCAGCTGCTAGACTCATTCACCTAACCAACCGCTTAGTGTCTGCAACCCCCTCTGCCAATCCCTACACTGGCTTCCAATAGCCCAGAGGATCAAATTCAAAATATTAACAACGACTTACAAAGCCATCGACAACTCTGCCCCCGGATATATCTCAAACCTTGTCCCAAAGTTATCACCCTAGCCGTCCTCTACGCTCTTCCAAAGACCTCCTGCTTTCCAGCTCCCTCGTCAACTCCTCTCATGCTTGCCTCCAGGACTTCACTGGAGCCTCTACCAACCTATGGAACTCTTTACCCCAACCTGTCTGACTATCTCCCACTCTGACTGCCTTTAGGCGATCCCTTAAGACCCATCTCTTCAGGGAAGCCTATCCCACCTCAACCTAACCACTCAACTAACACTTTTTCAAACAATTCATCCCCACACAGCTCCCTCCTCATGTATCACTGGCCCCTCCCTTTTAAATTGTAAGCCCTCAGGGGCAGGGCCCTCCTTACCATCTTGTCTTGAATTGTATTGCGATTGTAATGTCTTCCTTATATTGTAAAGCGCTGCGCAAACTGTTGGCGCCATATAAACCCTGTATAACAATAATAGCAGGCCTACCACATGGTTACAGGTTGCCTTAATGCACTGCTTGTTCACACTTATGAATTCTCCACCATCTACCAAACCCTATCAGTTCAGGGTGGCCCTTTACAAACAGAAGCCGAGCAAGTGTCTCCAAGTAAATGAGAACTTTTGGTCATTTAGGAAATATGAATTAAATCTCAGAGCAGATTTAAGTGATTCGAAACATTAATACGAGTCGAGATCGGAATAAAGAGGATCTTATAATGCCAATAAGCCCGAAAAGTCAATTAGCTGCAGAGGGTGTAATTAGTATTGAGCGGTAGGGGTTGAGCTGCCTGTGCAGATCGATACATGGTAATTAGGTGCATCCCCCGCTGCACTCAGATAATATATAACAGAACGGAATAAAGATTTTTAAACATGTTTAGGGGCTTCGAAGGTTGAAGGTGACGCAGAACAAAAGTGCACTGCAGGGATAAGTGCAGATATTTCAGGTTCGGGAATTGCAAAGTATAATAGAAGAAGGGAAAGGCCAGAGGCTTGTATTATAGGGGCATTCCTTCACATTTATTGGCCAGTTCCATTTTTTTTTAAGGTGAACTCTGGTCAGCTATAAACTTTTTGAATTTAAAGTGAAACACAACATACTTTTGATTTTTGAGTGTGAAAGGATCAGAACTTTAGGATTTATCACTGTCCGTGTCCCCATTGGGGACCTTTGACCTTATGATGTCATACTTACCAACAGTATGGTCCTGGATCTTGGGACACTGCTGGTTCTGAATCTTGGAACACCCCACCCAGGGTCTATATCTCGATCGCCCACTTTCCGGATGGGCACCTCCAAACCACTCCCGCTTTAAGGGTTGTATATGCCCTTAAAGCGATCGTCGAGGAGAAGGAGGCAGACAGAGGATCGGAGCAGACAGATAAGAGGGCTTGACCGCCCACCTGAGACCCTGCAGAACCCACCATAGAGAGTCTATGGTGGGCTCTGCAGGGTCACCCTCAGGTTGGATGGGTTATCAGGTGGGCGTAACTAGAAATCACAGGGCCCCATACAAAATTTTGCTATGGGGCACTGTGATTTCTAGTTAAGCCCCTAACCCTGACCCCTCCTTTAAATATGCAAGGACCACCCACTTGTTCCTCAATCCCCACAATGAATGCTTACTTGAGTTTCTGTGCATGTGCAGTAAGCTTGATGCTGTGATCATGAGAAATGCCCCCCCCCACCGGGCACAGCATTGGTGGGACAAAGGACCAAGATGTCAGACTGGCCCAGCAAATCCTGGACAGCTTTTCTAATAGTAATAATTGCAACAGGTCCCATTTTAGTGATCTGGGGGGAAATGCCCTTGTTGGCAGTTGTAAAAAGTGGAAATTCCCCCCCCCCCCCCTTTGCTGAGATTTCCAATGACTTCCTATTGTATCCCTGCAATAGGAAGTAAGGTAAAATCTCACCAAACAAGACACAAACAGTTCTAACTTTAGATACGTCTTGAAAGTGGAATTTCATGTTAGCCCCATCAATGGTGAACAGGGCTGTCCCTACCTTTTACGCCACCTGAGGCAGTCAGGAGAAGGGGGCTGAGCTGTCAGCCGGCCGAGCGGGAAGCGGTGGGAGGGGGTTGCTGTTAGTCGCCCGTGCCCACCCCTGCACCTGCCTCATTATGGGGATGCCCCTGATGTTAAACAGCATGGATGGAGGAACCTCCCATGCTGAGTAACCATTTCTTTTTTAATTTACAAAGAGTAGGGAAGGGTTTTATACTTTGTCAACAGGACAGGAAGTGAGAGGAAATCCTATATCCACGGGATATATCTTTCAGGAAGGGTTCCATGGATGGTCAGAGTAGGACGTATACATTATTTACTTTTTCTGTTTTGCAACATCGTTTCTAACTGCCAAAGGCAATAATCATCACCAGTCTATGGCAGTGGTAGGCAACCACAACACTCCCTTTGTTGGGGAACTACAAGTCCCATGAAGCATTGCAGGACACTGCCAGCTACAGGCATTACTCCCAGAGGCAGAGACATCATGGGATTTGTAGTTTTCCCTCATCTGGGGTGCCGAGGTTGCCTACTCCTGCTTTAAGCTGCGTGAACACATCAGATATAAAAAGTTGAATTTTTTTCCCCTCTAAAAGGCTCAGAATGAGTTAATTTTTCTCATTTCCAGCCTGCATGTCGTTAAGCAGAAGCAGAGTTTATTATGTCGGCCTGCTTATTGGTTTTGGCACAGGATCCTTAATTATATTAAAAGTGATGACTGACAAAGAACTCGGGGAGAGGCAAGCTGTTTTTGGCTACGCTCTCCACGCTAAAACCTTTGAAAGCGATTTGAATGCGTGGTCACGACTGTGCAAACCAGAGGGAGCATAGCCCCGAAGGTGTGCAACGCTGACAGCAAGCCGTTAGACCGGAACGCCATTTCCCAGGCCACGCCGATGCACGCTTCACGGCTCTGTGGCCGGAGCAGAGTCCCGCTTCAATGGAGGCTCGATCAGCGCGAGGTCGGAAAACGCGGGGGCGGCGCTGTGTGGCCACGTTCGTCTCGCTAATGATATCGCCATCAAAGGCTCGCTGTTTACTCCTTGTTTCTTTGTTTACAAGCCAATGACCTTCCCAGCAGGAACGCAAGCACGCACCGTAAAACCTCAAGTCGCCACCACGTTCAAAGTAAACGAACGACAGAATCCCATTTGACTCGTTTGCCAATTAAAAGAAAAAGTTTGTAAGAAGCCGACTTCAAAACCCACAAACAGGAACGCAAACAGCAATCTAAACAGAACTCAGACTTCCAGCAAAGGAATATTGTTCTGTGATGTTGTTTTGATGTCGTCATAAAGGAAATTACAGAAAAAGAAAATTGAAATATATATGCGTGGCGTTAAGTGAAAGAACAACACCATTCACAACTGCGGGTGTACAGCGCGCCCCAGTTCGACAAGATCTGATATATCTGATTCTGTATTAATACATTGATATCTGTGCTTATATACAGGGGCGTAATGATAAATGACAGGGCCTCACCGCTTTGTGGTCATTGTGAATGCCCCCCTTCCAATGGTGGTCAATGTAGTGTCAATGTCCGTGTAACATTGGTGGTCAGTTGGGTTGTGCCCTCTTATATTGCTAGTCAGTGGCAGAAGAAAACACCCATTACAACAGTGGTTAATGGAAGCAGAAGGCTCCCATCTTACATTGGTGGTCAGTGGCCCCATAGGAAACCCTTACATTGGTAACCAGTGGCCCTATAGTACACAATTTACATTGGTGGTCGGTGGCCCTATAGTACCCCTCTTACATTGATGGTCAATGGTGAAGTGCCCACTTACATTGGTGGTTTGACAAGAAGTGCCCCCTTGCATGTTCAGTGTAAATGCCCTTGTTACATTGGGTGCCAGTTTAGACTTGCCACTGACAGTGGGAGAAGCAGATGCCCCTTATAATGGTGATTAAGGAGAGAAGAAGATTCCTCTTGCATAGGTGGCCAGTGCATGAGGGAGGGCCCCCTTCCATTGGTGGCTAGTAGGGGAAGATGACTCCACCCCTTAAATAG